ATTTCACTAATTGTTTGTCATGTTGAAGCTAATTGTCACTTTTGTGTAATTTTGCACAGATTAAGCCTCAGAGGTAATACCAAGATACACCAAATTAAGAGCCCTTGTTTATGACACTGGGAGAATTTTTTTCATCTGTAGATAACAACAAAGTGATTTGGAACTGTGTCTTAAGCACGTGAGGATCTTGGTTGGACCATCTTGTGGCTCTCAATGATGTTATCAAGGATGAGAATTTATTCCAGATCTCTTCTCTACTCTCCCCTGAGTTTTCCTTTTGATAAACATATTTACATGGCTTATTATACTTATTGATCACAATAGTAATAGTTTTCTTATCTGTATTAAGAAAAAAACCGCTTAATAGTTTTTCCTCAAATCTAATTTCTATTTTTTTCTTGTATATAACATGTCACTTGGTGTACAGACTTTTCTTTTTGTACATTTTTATTTTTCTGAAAATACTATCATAAACACTCCTATGTAAATATTGGAGTGTTTCAATATTAAACACTTGAATCTTTAATGGAATTTGCTCCTATGTATCAATTTTTTGTGAAATTTTTATTTTAATTATATGATAGAAGGATGGGGTACTTTTGATGTATCCATTTATATACATCAGAAATCATGATTTGTTGATTTTTTTATGTGGCTAGTAATATTTTTGCTTTTATACATTATAAGGTATCTGTTGCAAATATTCAGCCCTATTGTTATGTACCAGGAAAATCTTCACAGAGATTATGAAAATTAATAGGCATGTCTGTGTTTCAATTATCATTATTATTATTATTTACAAAAACAGGAAGAGTTTTTCTTAATTTCCCAATTTTTTTTATTTTAGAAAATTTTTTTTATTTATTTATTTTACATTTTTTAATACATTCAATCACATTATTTAGCTTACAAGGTGATCCTTTCAATATAAGAACATTTCTCCCCAGTCGAGTTGATAAAAATATAACAACATTACCTCCCTGTCTCAACATTTTCCCCAATATTTTGATCATTAATTTATTTTGTAAAACTGAGGCAATAGCATTTGGTTGTCATAAAATCATGTCGCATTTTTGAATAGAAATAAATGAAAAATATGTCATGGATTTTCCAGCAACCCATTATATTCTCAGTGAATTAGAGTGGAGGCCATCAGGTGGCAAGATGGTGATGATATGAGACTACCCGTGGCTGACTGTATTTTGAGTCTTGAACCTGACAACTTGGTTTCTCATTTCCCTTTCTATTTCTTTCTCGTAATTACTTCTCTGGTGAATGTACATGCCCTTTGGCAAATTTAAAAACTAATAATGATAAATAAAATTAAATAACAATTCTTAAAACAATAATTAGTGTTAGTCAATAACATTGTTTCATTGCAGTACCTATTCCTAGTTTCAGAGTCAGCAGATATATTCTTCTGGATCACAAACCTTTTCTTTCTTACTTTGTTTTTTTCTTTTTACTTTTAAAGGCAATCACTATTATTTTTAAAATTTGTTGTGGGGCATGTGTGCTTCCCAGATAGAGACAGAGACAGAGAGAGGAAAAGTGAGAAAATGAGCCACTAGGTCTGGGACTTGTACAACAATTGGTCAGGGTCTAAACAAACATGCCACTTGCTGGCCCTTATGTCAGGGGGCACATGGATTCACTAGAGAGAGACAGAGAGCAAGGAAGTGAGACAGCACCACCTCCATGAAATGGTCATCCACAATAACCTATGCATCATTTTTTCCTCATATCAGGATTTTGGACAACACATAAACCCTTTGTTTGTTTACCAAATCATCTGATTTGGGACTCAAGTAACAATTTACGTCATGTGGGATTCAGCCACATTAACTACCATTCCATGGGCTAGCCCTGTACCTTTATTTTTATTTCTTGTCTTACACAGTCAAATACTTTTGCAATTCCTTCATAAAAGATAAATAATACTTTTTCTTAGTATATTCTTAGCAGAATATATACTAACTTTTACTAGGATGAAATCCAAGTGTTTTTTACTGTTGAAATGTCTGCAATTGCATAATCCTTATGAAAGAATTCAAACCATACTTATTCCTTATATATAAGAAAAATGGAAGCATAATTTCTAAGTTTTCATGCTTCATATTTGATAATACAGGATATTATGATGATAATTGCTTGATTTTATATTTTGTATGAGTGCATATTTTGATGTGCCCAATTGTAAAATTTACTAGAATATTGGATCCTCAATTTATAAACTATGATTCTTTTTCTTGTGCAATATATATCAAAGTGTGGTATACCCATATTATTTAATTCTTTGTACTTAATTGCACAGATGATTGAGTATAATTTTAAAAAGTTATAAAATATTCTTATAATAGTTTATCTGAAATTTATTTGTGCTTATCATCTGGGTCTAGGTACCCACAGATAACCTTGGCAATTACAGCTCCTCCTATTCATGACTACTGTGGTCCAGTATGTGATCCCAAATTTACACTGTCTTACCCAGCACCAAACTGCAAGGGTGTTCATTGGAAATAGTTTCAGAGTTTAGCCTAATAGAATGAACATAGACAGGAAATAGCTTACATATAATAAGGTAGGAAATTGTTTATAAAATAAATGTAGGAAAACAATAATTATATGAATTAAGAACTGTGGTGTTCTATGTTTCATTTATTAATTACTTTTTTTTTCTTTTCATCTGTGTTTTTTTTTTAAAGGAGACTGTATTATTTTCTGGAATGACCTTGAAACCTCACCATACACAAAGCTACCAAAGTAGTTACAGCCCCATCTTCGATCACAAAGCCTGCAGCGAGATCGAGAAGCCACAGCTATTGATTCTCGATCATCGCTACCACCCACCTTCCCAAGTAAAGTATCCGTAGTCTGCACTCAGCATCGAGGAAGCTGGTCATAGCACTGGAGCTAAATCAACTATCTTCATGACAGGTGTCCCACACAAAATAGCAGGAGCAACAGCAGGGAGGTCTCCTCACATGGCTTGTGTGATGGCGCCATGCAGATTGAAGCTGGGAGGTGACTTTCTTGCTTTCCAAGCTTTGCTTACAGAGAGCGACAGGATGGGTGTGGTGTCCATCCCACTCTCCCCCCCACCTCATATTTGGAAATGATGTACACAGTTCAGTATAGAGAAAACTCGAGGTGTCACATTGGAAAGTTTGTTTTTGGCTCTGCCATGGATGGATGTGCATGTACCCTTGAGACTTTGTCTTTCTGCTAATGTCAGTTCATGGAAGACTTTCAGACAGGGCAGAAAGATGAAGCAGGCAGGGAAGCAGAGACCATCATGTGGGACCTATAGGTAAAGCCAAGGGCCTTTGTGAATGCTAAGCAAGGTCTAAATTTGAGCAATCTTAGTGGGGCGAAAGTGAAGACATGGCACGCAGAAAAGAGAACAGGGAGGTGACTAGCTGGATATGCGAGGCCGGGAAGTTAGGACCTGGGAAGACACAGCGAGTTCTCTCTGGGCTCATCAACAAGGGGTTGCCTGCAGTCGACCAAGACAGGAAATCCTGGAGAATGAAGCAGTTTGCATTTAGTACAATGAGGGATGGTATACACAATGTTGCCAGGTGGTGTGAGGGTTAGAGCACTGGACTCTCACAGGGCTGACCTTGGTTCAAATCCCCAACATGGTTGCTTGCTTTCACTCTCTTTCTCTCTCTCTCTCTGGTCAAATTGAAGAATAAAATAATAAGTAATAAAGAAAATAAATAATTTTTAATAAAACAAGAATGTTATGCAAAATGTCAAGAGAAAATGTGAATGGTATCTACAAAAACATGAATGGTATCTTAATCTATAATCTCCTTGTCTTTACATTACACCAAATTTTAAGAAAGACTTTGTTTACTAGTGACAAAAGATTTCAGGATATATATAGTATATTTTTTATACACATACACATATACATACATATGAAAAGGTCATGTGCTCCATAAAAACATAAGACATTTTAGTCATTAATAAACTGCATATATGTTAGTACTCCTATAACATAATAGTATAGGCCATATCAATTCCATGTGCTGTGTGAAATATCATCTAGGTTTGTGTAAGTGCAATCTATGATGTTCACAGAATGAAATTTTGTAGAAATGCATTTCTTAGGACCAGCAAATTGTGCAATGGTTATGTCATTGGATTCCCACATGGCTGAGCCAAGTTTGAGTCTCAGACCTGGTGGCTTGAAACTCAGGCCTGGTGCATGTATGCATTTGCCCAAAATCCCAAAATGAGAATGAAGGAGAAAAGATTATGGGGGCAATTCACCTGGGCATGATTTTTCACTTTCACCCTCTCTGCCTCTGTCTGTCCCTGTGGTGAGTGCATGTGCTCTACAGGAAAAATCTCTCTAAAAAATAATTTTAAAAATTGAAAAATACATTCTCAAAATTTTATCTTACTAAAAGATATTCAACTGTGTGTACATAACCACCACCTCATTGATTTCATTCATTGAACTGTTGCTTGAACAAATGCAAGAAACCAAATCAGCTTATAAAAACTGGAAGTATTTCTATAGTTTAGAATGTATCTAAGCAAAATCAGATAGTACAATTCTGGATGTAAAAGGCAAATTTTGTTTTGTTAATTTGTATTTTGACTGTGGCAGGAGTTCAATTTGTTTTCTTTAGAATTTGCATAGGTCATGTA